CAGCTGGTGAGTACATTATAATTTGGTACGCGCAAAACATAAAATACATTGAGAAACCTCGTACCTTTTATACATGATTTTGAAGTGGAACTGTTACTGAACAAAACAATGCCAAAAGAAAATGAAACCAACAAACTTGTGTCCAACAACCCACGTGGTATAATAATGCGCGTGCGCAATATCTAACAAAGGCAGACCAAATCTATAACAAATAGAGTTTATTTTACTGGCAATTTTGGAGCAATTACAACATATTTGGTAATATATACCACATATAAACATTTACACAAACACATCTTTCCTGAGAGGAATGATTTAATTTGAACCAAATGAACTAAACCAATGAATTACACATAATGTAAAATAAAGTCGATCGTATAAAGCAATACACATATATACTTTAAATAATCGTAGATACTTTGCATATAAGAAGGGAAATCGTCCTAAAATGACACGAATGTTTTTGTAATTACTGTATTGTATAGGTCACAAGTCACTGCCCGTGATTGGTTATTCCGAAACAATTCGATTCTAATATGATCTTAGTTTGGGCATTTTCATTGTTTTTTTCAAATAAGTATCTGATTATTTTATTTTATTTATTATTTGTTTACGTATTTAAAAAAAAAAAATGGTAACCAGGACAGACCACAATATGCAAATTATTCCTCACTAAGTTGTGGGCTATATTTGTTCAATCCTTAACCTGATAGAGCTGGAATGTTATGTTCGGATTCAAATACTCAACAACAGGTGTCAATATTTCTAAAAATATTGTACGTCATTTTCATTAAATTTACTGATTTTACAGTTGGAATATAGAAGAAAATATATACTAATAATACTCATTAATATATATATTTTTTGTTATTGCTTTTTCTGTTTATCTTTAAATGCTTGGAAGTTCTCCTCTATTGCTTCTTTCAATCTGACAATGTCAATTCTCCAAAGTTTGCTCAGATCTGGTAGCAAGTTGAAAGGCTATCAAACAAAATGAAAACAAATCATGTGATAATTAGCATATAATTAACATACTCTTATGCATCATTGTCTCTGTTACGAAAACGTCAATTCTATTATGGCTGATTTCGAATGCAACAAATGTACTATATTAACCTTAAGGAACATAGGATTTTGTAGATAGTCATCGTCACCATTAAGATCGTCGTCGTCATCACTATCGTCACCACCATCGTCATCATCATCATCATCATCGTTGTCGTCGTCATTAACGTCGTCCTCTTCGTCTTCTTCATTTTCTTCGATATCTTTATAAATTGACCACCAGCGCTTCCGATCATACTGTCCTCTCACTGGTTGAGCATCTTGAAGAAAATAATGGAAACAGATATTTGCATCATAACAGTAATTGTATATTAACAGAAAAATGATTGTGTTATACAATAAAAAGCATGATTGATGTTGTTAATATAAGTATGTGTAAATGAAACTAATAGCGATGTTATTGAGATAGCTTTATTAAATAATGTGTACTATATAAGCTTTGCTGGAGATACTACCAAGTAAGAGCAAAAAGACAGAATTCAATTCAGAAAATATATTTTGAAATTTAATCGAATTGTAGTAATATGTAATGGAAAAATGTAATAATACTCGATTCTTTGACAGATTGTACAACATTCACTAAATACTGTATCCATAATCCTATATCACTACTAGGAATTTCACGTAATCTGTTGGATTTCATCACAAGTATGTCAGATATCATTCGTCGGATTTCTTGTACGATGTATAACATCTCAAACCTGTAACACAAAAATAAACACAATCATTTACTCATTGAACATAACAGATCTTTTGATTTGTATGCAACAGTCTCACCCCTGAGAAAATATTCCATCGGCAAAAAACTTACGTAATTGGTCTATTTCTTTCCAGTTTCATTTTCTTATGCATAAATTTAACAGCCGTTATCCTCTTAGCAAATTTGATTTTAAAATCGAACCGACTTGGTAGAAATACCATCAGCAGAATCACGGGTAATATTCCATTACAGTCTGGCGTTAACACTGTAGCCCCACTTGCATAACCATAATCACCACTTCCTAGGAGGAGATACCTCATTGTCACCGTCAATGTTTAATGACTTTGGATTAGAAATTATCTCATTACACAAGTAATGGGAATTACAGTCACATTAACGAATATATAAACATTTAAAAATATATTCGAACTTGCAACGCGTCAAATACGCTTCGCCAGTGTGAGTAGACGCGCCCAAGTTACGCAACATTGTACTGATCTAAACGACGTAATGATTGCGTTCATACAACGAATAAATTAACATTAGATTAAATATTACATATGCTTACTTGACTGAAAGTCACACGTACGCCAACGATTTATACTATTAATTAAACATGTATTACCTTTTATGTTTGCTGCGACTGCGAAGTGATGCATATCTCGTATTTCGCAAGCAAAACCAACAGGGTTACGTATATCGCCGAGTTCACCTATGACATTGAAATGTACATAATTAGAATTGTATATAGTCTAGTGTAGGAACAATGGAGTGTAGTAACAATGACGTACGGTAACCATTGGGTTCAGTAACAATGACGCAAATAACCGAGGAGTGCATTAACAATGACGTACAGAAACCATGGGGTTCAGTAACAATGACGTAAATAACGAAGAAGTGCGTTAACAATGGCGCATAGTAACCACGGGGTTCAGTAACAATGACGTAAATAACTGAGGACTGCATTAACAATGACGTACAGTAACTATGGGGTTCAGTAACGATGACGTAAATAACTAAGGAGTGCATTAACAATGACGTACAGTAACCACGGGGTTCAGTAACAATGACGTAAATAACTGAGGACTGCATTAACAATGACGTACAGTAACC